AAAAACATAAAAACAATTATACTCAAAAATCACATATCAAACCAAAATAAAATTCATTGAACAATCAATCCAGAAACTGCCAATCTATCCAGAATGGACTTTGTCCAACACATATACACATAGACATGCAAATTTTGGTCAGGCAAAGGTGGTGTCGGTGAAGGTGGTGGCCTTCTTGGTCAGGCGAACACAAATTCCATTCATGGTGATGGTCCCGATCAACTCATGCACAAAGCCCTATAAATTTCGACTTCGCTTCCAAAATTGAGAAATTTTCGAACACAAATCCCGATTTTACTTCCAACTGTATGTGAAAAAAAAAACATCATACTTTATTAAAAAAATCAAATAAACTACAGAAAAAAAGCGATAAAAAAAAGTTACAGAAAAAAAAAGAACACGAAAAAAAAACTATTGAAAGTGAAGAACAAATCAAAAAAAGAAAAAGAAGAATAATGGAAATCAACAAGGAAGAAAAAGGAAAGAAAAGAAAAATAAAAACCGACAAAGAAGAAAGAAGGAAGAATACGAAAGGTACAGTTTCTTTGCAAATAAAACTGTCAGATAATATCAAAAGACGTGTGGGTATTTAAATTAAAAATAAAAATTGATAACTTAAAACTTCCAGAAAAGGGATATAACTGGAAATAGAAAGAGTAACGTTGACTAAATTATTTGGAAGGGTATTAATATAAACTGTTTAAAAAACGGGTTAAGGGGCGTCATTATTTCATGTTAATAGCTTATAAAAAAAATCATATCATCTAAGCCCAAAAACTCGGCCCACGCCCTAGCCTAGTAAGGCCCAAGAAACAGTTACTCTCTTATTAAAAAAAAAAAAACCCCTCCAAGAGCAGCCTGCTCGACGGACGAGAGCAGGCCAAGAACCGAGAATTTTCAGCAGCAAGCGGCCGCAGTACCGGAGTGCCAAGCCCTTTTGTCGTGCACTGAAACCTTTCACCCGCGCCTTTTACCCTTTTATTGCCATGAAAGGTATATTCAGTTTAGCCCGAGTTTTATCCCATTTTTGGCCAAATATGTTGAGTATGTTAAGAGGAGTATGTATTGTGTTTTCTGCCATGCATGATAAGCATACTGAACCTCCTCATCTTTTTAAGGCCGAGATTACAGGATTTTATGAGGTGCTTGATTATTGTGATTTTTTTTGTGCCTTGCTATGTTAATTTTGAGGCTGCTGTATATGGAAAATCTTGTGCTGAAAAGTATGTTGAAAATCAAATTTTATGTTCATCTACAAGGCCTTTATGCTGTGCTTAGAAGCGTTAAATTTTGAAGCAAAAGAAGAGCTAGTATATTGGTGGTGTTGTGCCTTCATTTTGTTGATCAGGCTGAGCCAATTATATGTTATTTTGGGCTGAAAAATCATGAGTTTAAAGTGTTAAAATTTCAGTCAAGATTCAACTTTATACATGCTCTAAATTTTGAGAAAAGAGGTGCTTGAACTAGAGTATTTTGCCTTGGTTGTTTTGATACTTAGAGGCTGCTGTTTTTCGCTTATGTTCATGATGGTTTTGTGCTGATTTATGTGTTGTAAATCAGAATTTTAGGATCAGTTAGAAGGCCTTTTGAGGTGCTCAAATTTGGTTAATTTTTTAAGAGGAAAAGAGAAGGTGCTTATGTGAACTTTAGCCTCGGTTTGTTTGAATTGTGCTAATCCTCTTATCCGTGATTTTGGCCGAGCTTAGTTGAGTTTTATGGCTTAAAAAGTTGGCTTTCGTGGCATGCTAGACTTAGTTGAAATTGAGGAGAATTAAGGTGCTTGTTTGGAGGCCTTAATATTGCTATGTTCATAGCTTGTTATTGAGCCTTAATTTCATGTATTTCATGCTGAATATGTGATTTGAGACGCTTAGTTTCAGTCATGAAAAATTAGAAATGCATGTCTTAGATTATGAGAAAAAGAGGTACATGTTATGTGTTAGTTTCGGCCTTGATTTGATTACCTTTCTCAGCCTTGGTTTTGTTGCATTTCATGCTGAAAATTATGAGTTTTGAAGTGTACAGATTCAGTCAAGTGGCAAGTATACGCATGCTAATTGTTTTTTTAGAAATTTATTGCAAAGGAAGAACATGTTACATATGTTGTCTGGCCTTGATTGAATTCGTGATAAACAAAGGTAAATATTATGATTGTTATACGTTTGCTTTGTTTTTGAGCATTGTGTCATGTAGTTTATCTGTTTCTCTAATTAATAATGATATAATGTACATGTTGCTATGTTTTAAGCTGTTTATCTAATTAGTAACATTATATACAAAGGTCGATATATTGAACCCAGGCCTAACGTTTATGCGCGCTCTATGGACGAGCAATTTACTAAATACACTCATGTCAACGTCGACTTGGACATTGCAACTAAGAGAGCTGCTTTAAGAGCTTCAGCTTCAGTTGTCGGCCTTATTTCTGTGCGTTGAGAAGATGTGTTTTGTGTAGTTACATTAGACTTCATAAATAAAGAGTATTTATGCTGTAATGCATGTAGTATTACATGTAGTCCAGTACAAGCAAGTTTGTTTTGATGTGTTTTGACGTGTCTACGACTATCAGATTGTGTGTTATATTTAAACTCATATATATATATATGCAGGTGGGGAAGCATTATTCAATGCTTCAGGAACTATATATGAGACTTCCGAGAATGGGGATGGCAAATACTTGAGCAGAATAGTTACATCTGCGAGTCTCTTTGGTTCTGTTGCTCATAAAGATATTTATATCAAGATATAAACAGTTTCCTTTATGATGCGCCTATATGATAGAGGGACCGTTCAACCCGAATTTAATATAACTCATATTCGAAGAAAACTAGCCCATCTGGATATGATAAAATGTTTAAAATGATGAAACGCCAATAGCTGAATTTGGCATAGAACCTCAGTGGTTTTCATATAGGAAAACAAGAATGACATTGATTAACAAGTTTTATATGCACAATAAAAATGTGGGTCAATAATGTTCCCTTGGACTATGGCAGGTCTTTACTGCTGGAGGCATAGTGTTTGACGGCATTGTTATGGGACATGATGCACACTATAACCTTGCAATCATCGATATAATCTCTGATGTGCTACTGCCTGCTGCAAGGTTGAGGATTTTAGATGACTCAGTCTCTTTAGATCCAATATCGGTTCAGTGTAGTCTGGACAATGCACGGCCTCATTCAAGGAAGTTCAAAATTTGCGCAGGAGATATGTTGGTAGCTTTGGGGCGATCTTGCAAAAATTTTGATATCATGTCTGCAGCTGGCAAATTAAGGTAAATTGGTCGGATGTTTTTATTGTTGAAAAATAGTATTTGCATTTTTCTACGCTATAGAAATGTTAGTGTTTGGTTAAAAATGGTGTAGCTGAAAGAATCACCTATGTTGTGTTTTGCTTATAGTTCAGTTGCATTGTGAATGAGTAACTCCTGATTGGTTTGACAAGTGCCATCTATACACGGTGCCTTAGGAGAATATTGTTAAACATTTGGATATGCTTGACTAGAAACTTATCTCGTTTTCATCAACTTGCAATCTGTTCTTGTTATGCCAATGTCTCTTACATGTTGTTTTTCTGGTCTTGATTATTGCGGATATGATTGTATGGAGCTAATGATGGCGACATGCATAATTACCAAGGTGTGTAATACGAAGTTATTCTCATATTTATTTTCTTATTTAAGTATATTAGTTACTAATTTACTCTTATATAATATATACATCTCGATGATATTTTGTTTTTGCTAGCCTGGTATTGGTGGACCTATTGTCAATTGCTACGGTGAAGTGATTGGTGTAAATTTTATGAATGAAAAATTCACTCCATTCCTCGCCACGAACATAGTGGACAAATGGCTCAATCTCTTCACTGGGCACAAAAAAGAAGTTCGACCTTGGACTGGGGTGGTGTTGGCGACCAACCTGTATGCAGCAAGACTACGCGATTTAGAGCATATTGTGTTGGGAAATAAGGTCGGATAAGATGGAATAATAATAATACACCAACGTAAAATATATAAAAGACACGAAGATTTGTTAACCCAGTTCGGATTAAATCCTACGTCTGGGGGCGAACCAAGCCAGGAGAATAAACTAGAAGAAGAGGATAAACCGAATGTTACAACTCACACAAGCCCGTATGAATACACTCTCTCTACTCTTTTTCTCTCTATCTCTCTTGTTATGTTTCTTTTGTTGTGGTGTTTAGTTCATCCGAATCCCCCTCAATTTATAGAGGGTGAATCCACAAATTTTCCAACAAAGGCTGCTGCAAATTTCTTCAAGGGTGTGCTGATGTTATTCAATAGAAATGGGCTGCTGAGCCCTTTTTTCTCCTTCTGCTGGCAGCTGTAAAAGGATTGGAGCTGCTGCCCCCAATTTTGACTCAACAATCTCCCACTTGAGGATTGATTTCAATCTGTCCTCACACCTCATTGATCAACATGTTCATCTCTGCTCCTGGTTCTGCCCGGTCTGTCTGTTTTAATTATCAAGGCCGGTCGAAGCTGCACACAGCTTCAACTTTTCCAAAGTTACCGCCTTGGTCAACATGTCTGCAGGATTTCTCTCTCCCGGAACCTTTTTCAGTTGCAACACCTTCTTCTCTAGAAGTTGCCGGATGAAATGATACTTAACCTCGATGTGCTTCGTTCGCGAGTGAAACGCGGGGTTCTTTGCCAGATGGATTGCACTCTGGCTATCGCTGTATAGAGCCACATCCTCTTGAGGTCTCCCAAGTTCATTCAAGAAGTTTTGCAGCCAAACGAGCTCCTTGGCTGCCTCCGTCACTGCCACATACTCAGCTTCCGTTGTGGACAATGTGACTATCTTCTGCAGCTTTGAGATCCAGGATACGGCCATCCCGCCGTAAGTGAACATGTACCCAGTAGTACTCCTCCTCTTGTCAAGATCACTTCCTGCAAAATCAGCATCGACAAACCCAGACAGGGTAAGGGTACTCCTGCCAAATAACAATGCCCGGTCCTTAGTACCCCTCAGGTACCTAAGAATCCACTTTACCGCCTCCCAGTGCATCACTCCAGGATTGCTCATGAACCGGCTGACTACTCCCACTGCATGTGCTATGTCTGGCCGGGTGCAGACCATAGCGTACATTAGGCTCCCGATGGCTGAAGCATATGGCGTAACTCTCATCCTTTCTTTTTCAGAGTCATCCTGGGGCGAATCCTTGATGGACAACTTGAACTGGCTTCCCAATGGCACTCGAACCGGCTTTGCAATATTCATATTGAATCTGCACAACACCTTCTCAATATAATCAGATTGAGAAAGCCAAAGTTTACCAGCATTCCTGTCCCTCGTGATTTTCATGCCCAGTATTTGTCTCGCTTCTCCTAGATCCTTCGTATCAAATCTCCTTGATAGCTGATCTTTGAGCCTCTCGATCTCCTTGACATCTGATCCTGCTATCAGCATGTCATCTACATATAGCAGTAAAATAATGAAAGAGTTACCGAACCTCTTCACATAGCAACAATGATCAGCATTACACCTGGAGTATCCTATCTCCAGCATGAAATTATCAAATTTTCGGTACCATTGTCGAGGAGCCTGTTTTAGTCCGTACAAGCTCTTCTTTAGGCGACAGACCTGATCATTTCCTCTATATCCCTCTGGTTGCACCATGTAAATTTCCTCCTCGAGATCCCCATGCAGAAAGGTCGTCTTCACATCTAACTGTTGCAACTCCAAATTTTCTGCCGCTACCATGCTTAACACTAGACGAATAGTGGTTAACTTAACAACAGGTGTAAAAACATCGGTAAAGTCAATACCGTATCTCTGTTGGAATCCCTTTACTACAAGTCTGGTCTTGTATCGCTTCGTCCCATCTGATTCCTCCTTGACCCGATAGACCCATCGGTTTTGAAGAGCCTTCTTTCCTTTTGGAAGATCACACAAATCCCATGTGTGGTTCTTCTTCAACGAGTTCATTTCGTCGTCCATCGCAAGCTCCCATTTGCTCTTGTGGGCATCTTTAACTGCCTCTTCATAACAGTCGGGTTCCCCAGAATCGGATAAAAGTAGGTAGTAAAGAGAAGGGGAGTACCTATCCGGGGCCCTTCTCATCCTCGGTTCTCGACCCAGTGCTAGAGGCGTGCTGCTCTCAGCAATTGGTTCATCTGATTCTGGTTCTGCCTCTTCTTCTGTACGCTCGATCTCATCTATTTGAGCTCCCACTGAATCTGCTGGTCTCATGATTCTGGTATTTGAAATATCGAGACCAACATACTCCTGCATGGTCTTGTCATCGTCCGGGTATTCCTTCTGGTCCTTGTACATTATGCCTTCATTGAACACTACATTACGACTGCGAATAATTTTTCGATTTTGATCATCCCAAAATTTATACCCAAATTCGTCAGTCCCATATCCAATGAATGTACATTTGACGGACTTAGCATCCAGCTTTGTCCGGTCGTCGTTGAAAACATAAGCCAAACAACCAAAGGTTCGTAAGAAAGAGAGATCAACTTCCTTACCACTCCAGACCTCTTCTGGAATTTTGTTGTTCAGTGGGACAGAAGGCCCCCGGTTGATCAAGAAAGCGGCCGTGCTGACTGCTTCTGCCCAAAACATCTTGGGCAATCCACTCTTCAATCGCATGCATCTCGCACGCTCATTTAGTGTCCTGTTCATCCTCTCTGCAATGCCATTTTGCTGAGGTGTTCCTGGGACCGTCTTCTGCATCCGGATCCCATGATCAGCGCAGTATTCCTTGATGGCTTCACTGTTGTACTCGCCACCGTTGTCGGATCTGAGACATTTCACTTCCAGACCTGTCTCTTTCTCCACGAGTGCTCTCCATCTCCTGAAAGTATCAAAGGCTTCGGATTTTCTTTTCAAAAAATACACCCATACCTTTCTTGTGCAGTCATCGACGAACGTCATGTAGTACATCGATCCTCCAAGAGATGTCACCGGTGCTGGCCCCCATAAGTCAGTGTGCACGAGCTCTAGTTTTCCTGTCTTTGGAGATCTCCCAGTGGTTATGAAGCTCACTCGCTTCTGCTTTCCAAGCACGCATTGCTCGCAGAGACCCACGTCCACTGACTCCAACTCGGGCAAAAGTCCTCTCAACTTTAGTACCTTCATTCCTTTCTCGCTCATGTGGCCCAAGCGACTGTGCCACAAGTGCGATTGTGAGACAACTCCTGCCAGGAGAATGTTTGAGCTGGATCCACTCGCCGTGTAAAGCGTTCCTGACTTCAGCCCTCTTGCCAAAGTCATAGCTCCTCGGCTGACCTTCCACTTTCCGTCTCCAAACATTGTGTGGAAGCCGTCATTATCCAGCTGTCCAACTGAGATGAGATTCCTCTTCAGTCCTGGAATGTGTCTCACATCCCGTAGGGTCCAGCACGACCCATTTGCGGACTTGATCTGCACATCTCCCTTCCCTACAATCTTTAGGGATTTGTTGTGTAACACCCCACTTTGATTTTAAAGAAATTCCGGACTTTCCAAAAATCAGTATAAAATTTTCGAACTCATTTTCGAAATCATGGGCGTTATACAACATCAAACATCAACCAAGTCGTATCTGGTTGTTCACATGGTTTTCATTAACCTTTTAAAATTCAACTCCACCTGATTATTAGCTAAACCACATAGCATGCATAATCGAAGACACATGATAATCCATAAATAACTCTAATACGAATATCAAACAAAGGGTCCAAAATCCCGACACGGACTATTTTTGAAAACGTTTCAACATGTCTCAAAGATCACAATTTATTCATAAAGGAAGCGGAAACATAAACATGATAATCATGACCAACCCACTCGTCTTTTCCCCGTCATCCGGCACCTGCTTAACCTGCATCCGAGAAGAGCAAGTGGAAGTGAGCACAAGTTAAAAGTAGTGCTCACTACTATGCACATAAATAACACATGTCAATGGTATGGTCGCAGCATGAATATAAGATAATCACATCATGTCTCATCTCCTATCAAAATTACAACAACCACATTACTCCTGTGCACATCTATCGCTTGCCGCAGAACGGAGATTCATTACCCGAAGGCGGGAGTACATGTCACGCTACGGACACGGCCTTCCATATGGGCTTACGTACCTCGCAAGGGCACGGCCATATCAGGACTTAAGGAGACTTGCCTCACAAGGGCAACCGTATTACATCGACGGGGACAACCGTACCGACGGCCGTAACAGCTCACATCGATAGGCTACATATTTCATATTCATACTTAGATCATACCCATAAGTAAAACATTCATCATTCATGGCATAGACGATTTTAGATTAGAACCCACCTGGATACCGAGATATAGCCAAACACAGAGTTGAAGGAATAATGGCAAAAGTTCAGCTCGATGAACCTACAACAATTATAATAGTCTATTGATATAGCCCTGTAAAGATAAACCGATCCAAAGGCTCTCTCTCCGTGCATCGAGTCGGGGCGAGAAGATGTTTAGGATCGACTTCATTCAAAGTCGACCCGGCCATAAAGCAGAGTGTCGAATATTCGAGGAGTCGACATAAGTCGACTCCTGAAGGTCGGCTTAAATCAGTCGACCTCCCTAAAAGCCGACGCACAAACAAGAACCTGTGGAGACAACTCCCGAACAGTAGAATATGAATGGTTGAAAGTGCTCGAGGTCGGCGTCCCATACCTCGACACATAGAACATGCAGTCGACCCTGTATACGGTGCATCCATCAGAACCCTTGTCCATCTATGGATAAGAAGGAATCTGGGGATGACTCAGCAAGGAGGGGAGGTGAATCGACCAGGGCAATTTGGACTTTTCAGGACCACCGACTTGGGGCATTTTAGGCATCTCAGGTAAATTCTCCCTCCTATATAAAGGAGAAGAGGTAGCCCTAAACCCTAACTTTTCATTGATTCCATACTTTCCTCCATTGCTGCGGCTCTCTCATATCAGTTCCTCATTCTGTTCATACACTGACTTGAGCGTCGGAGGCTCTACGCCGGAAACCCCTCCGGCGTTGAGTTCTTGCAGGTGTTCTCGCGATCCGGTAGCAGTTCAGAAGCCATCAAGTCGGATCTGAGTTCACCCTCACCGGTTCGCTCCAGATCTGAGCCCATTCTCATCAGATCGCCCCGGATCTGGAAAGAGACCCATCATTTTGGCGCCGTCTGTGGGGAAAGGAGTTTCCCATTTTTCAAGTTACTTAAGAAAAAAG